GGAATGTACCCGCTAACAATGAAGTTCACGAAATCAGCATACCACGGGTCTCTCTCCTTCACCTGGACAGCCATAACACAATCATCTCGGAGACAATCATCGATAGGAACTTCCTCATGTCGCTCAATCCGAGATAAATGGTCAGCCACTCCGTTCTCCGTACTCTTCCTATCCCTAATCTCCAAGTCAAACTCTTGGAGCAAGATAATCCATCTGATTAACCTCGGCTTGGCATCCTTCTTGGATAGGAGGTACCTCAAAGCAGCATGGTCGGTGTACACAATCACCTTCGACCCGACCAAGTAAGACCGAAACTTCTCAAAGGCAAAGACAATGGCGAGTAACTCCTTCTCAGTGGTGAGTAATTGACTTGTGCATCGTCCAAAGTCCGACTCGCATAATAAATGGCGTGCAACTTTCTGTCTTTCCTTTGGCCCAAGACAGCCCCGACGGCGAAATCGCTCGCATCGCACATAAGCTCGAAGGGAGCTTCCCAATCCGGTGGCTGAATAATAGGCGGAGAAATCAACGCCTTCTTCACAGTCTCAAAGGCAGCCTCGCACTCATGGGTGAACTCAAATGGCACATCCTTTGCAAGCAATTCGGTCAAAGGCCTCGAAAGCTTCGAGAAGTCCTTGATGAACCTCCTGTAGAACCCGGCATGTCCTAGAAAACTTCGGATTCCCTTAACATTCCGTGGAGGCGGCAGCTTCTCTATCACTTCGACCTTAGCTCGGTCGACCTCAATCCCCTTGCTCGAAATCTTGTGGCCTAGCACAATGCCCTCTTGGACCATGAAATGGCACTTCTCCCAATTCATCACAAGATTCGCCTCAACACACCTGTCTAACACTCGGCGCAAATTCATTAGACACACGGGAAAGGAGGGCCCATGGACAGAAAAATCATCCATGAACACCTCCATAACATCCTCAATGAGATCAGAAAACACAGCAGTCATGCATCTCTGAAATGTTGCCGGTGCATTACATAAACCAAAAGGCATCCTACGGTATGTGAAGGTACCATATGGGCATGTAAAGGTGGTTTTCTCCTGGTCGCTAGGGTGAACGGGGATTTGGAAGAATCCCGAGTAGCCATCAAGAAAGCAAAAATGGGAATGCAAGGCTAACCTCTCTAGCATTTGGTCGATGAAGGGCAACGGAAAATGGTGCTTACGGGTGTTGGAATTCAGCTTCCTATAATCAATGCACATCCTCCAACTCGTAACCGTCCTAGTGGGTATCAATTCATTACGCTCGTTCTCTACCACAGTGATACCCCCCTTCTTTGGTACAACTTGCACGGGACTAACCCATGCACTATCTGAAATCGGGTAAATGATACCCGCATCTAACAATTTTAGCACCTCTTTCTTCACTACCTCCTTCATGGTGGGATTCAACCTACGCTGATGCTCTATGGAGGTTTTGGAACTATCCTCTAAGTGAATGTGATGCATACAAAGAGATGGACTAATGCCTCTAATATCATCCAAAGTGTAACCCAAGGCATGCCTATACTCTCTAAGTAAAGTCACTAAAGCAGCTAGTTCCTCAGCAGTCAAAGCAGCATTCACAATGATCGGGTAAGTAGAGTTAGGTCCGAGAAATTCATACCTAAGCCCTTGTGGTAAGGGCTTCAATTCCACCTTTGGCGCGCTTTCTGGATCCCAATCCTTCTTCCCGCTCGTCTCCACATCGGGCTGCTTGACTTGTATGGAGGATACCGGAGCTTGATGACTCGGAGAAGGTGATGTCTCCTCTCCGTTTTCCTCGTCCCTTAGCCAAGGGAACTCACAGGCAGAACAAGATAAGGGCTCAACGGCCCTATATTTCCAGCCCTCTAGCTCAATCGATGAGCTGTCATCTAAAGTCCGAACAATGCTCCGGACTTCCTCCCAATCGCAGTACATGTTGTCTTGTACCGCGTTCAATGCCATCTCAAGGGGATCTGAGTCTCTGAACTCATCCCTCACTTCGTCGACCAATGTGTCGATCAAGTCTAGGTAGAAGGAAGACTCCACCAAATGCGGCTGTTTAAGATTATGATCAAGTCTGAACTCAACCGTCTCATCACCAATCTTCATCGTGAGTCTACCCTCTCTGACATGCACAACAGCATCAGCCGTATTCAGAAACGGCCTACCAAGTATAATGGGGATTTTGGAATCCTCCGGCATGTCCAGAACAACAAAATCGACGGGGATGTAGAATTCCCCTATCTTCAGAGGCACATCATCCAAGATCCCAGCGGGATACTTCACTGATCGGTCGGCCAATTGCAGCGCCATCCTTGTCGGTTTCAGCTCACCGACATTAAGCTTCTTGAATATGGAGAGAGGCAGCAAACTAACACTTGCACCCAAATCGCAAAGTGCCCTCTCAATCTCCACATTCCCCAATCTGCACGGGATGAAGAAGCTACCGGGATCAGCCTTCTTCTGCGGTAACTCTGTCTGCAATATGGCTGCACTCACTTCCGTGCTCAATGCCACTGTCACCTTCTCAACCGCCATCTTCTTCGTAAGGATGTCCTTCAAAAATTTTGTATAGGACGGGATTTGGAGAACTACCTCGTGAAACAGCATGGTCACTTTCAACTTCTTCAACATCTCCGTAAATTTGGCGAATTGGCTGTCTTCATTGTACTTCCTTGCCCGAGATGGAAATGGTAGAGGGGGTGCCTGTGGAGGAGGCGGAATATCCCTCGCCTCTTCCCCCTCTGCAACATGGCCCTTGCCTTTGTCTAAGGCGGCCCTCTGTGGTTCGTGTGAACCTTCTCCCTCTTCTCTGACAACTGGGGAGGTCTCCGGAAGCTGTCTTCCGCTTCTCAAGCCTATAGCATTAATATGCTCCTTCGGGTTAGGATCAGCCTTACCCGAAAATTGGCCTTGAGGTCTCGCAGCTTGGGAAGCAAGCTGAGAAATCTGGTTGTCCATCATCTTGATGTGCGAATCTATCCCATCCAACCTCTGCTCAAAGCTCTCTTGCTTCCCTTTGAATCCTTGCATTTCTTGATCCAAGCTGGTAAATGAGTTTTTCTGATCATGCATTAGCTGGGCCAACATCGACTTCAACTCCGACTCTTCTTCCTTAGCTTGAGGCGGAGGAGCTCTGTATCCTTGATTCCTCTGATTGTAGTCCTGGCCCTGATTCTGATACCCCTGATTCTGACTCTGATAGCCCTGATTCTGGTATCTTAGCTGAAATCCCGGGGGTCCCTGAGGTTTCGCCCCGCTTTGATGCTGAGGGTTCAATGCTCCTTGCGGGTTGCCATAAGAAAAGCCAGGGTGATTCCGATTCCCCGGATTGTAGAAGTTCGACTGATTGTTATACTGATTTCTTCCCACATAGTCGATGTCACTTTTTCTAATTCTTGTGATATATTTGAGTATATCAGAGAGTGTTTTAGATAGAGTAACAAATAGGACCGAGAGTGAAAGAAGTATAATGTCAAAAGGTTTGAAAATTGTGGAGAATAATTCTCCAAATCTTGTTATTATTCTGGTCAATGTACATAACATATATATATATATATATATATATATATATAGAATCAAAGAAATAAGGCAAGAATATAAATCACAAACGGCTACTATATATGTATGGAATGCAATCTTCTATCTTGAATCAATCTTGTAGATTTAGATCTTCATTCATGGAAAGAATGGGAAACGGCTAGCTAAGTTGGCAGCCACCTCATCAATCCTTCTGTGCATGTTTGAGTGATCAAGTTCATGCCTTAAGGTCATCACCACATCTGCACGTGCATGTGAGCCACATATCTTGTCATGTTAACATTCCCCTCAAGATTGACTTGAAGATTTTTCGAAAGTCATCTTGAAGAGCGAATAATTTTTTTTTCTTGTACTTTTCCAATTTCGCCATTTTTCGATGTCATCGAATCTTTGAAATGTTGCTCCTAGTTCATCCACGACTCCATGGTAGCCATTGTTCTTCCTTGAGCATGTTAACAAACGGCTCAACAACTCCTTATTAGTCATAAGGACTTGTTCAAGTATCCTCCAAGATGGCTCCTTTGGTTTTAAAATCTGTAATTCAATAAAATCAACATTAGTGTCGCATTTGAATGAATATGAGAGCTTACCTTTATTTTGAAGATTTATCTTCGATTCCCTCTTAAATCGAATCCAAGTTTTATTGGGTGCTTGGTGATCCTGCAACATCTCAATAAGATTGTTAGTAACCTCAAGTGAAACCAAGAGACTCTTTTCTTTATTATTTTTCATATCATAATTGGCAAACACAATGTAATGGTCATAAAGTAATAGATACAAAGTTCTATTATATCTATGCATTGCATTTATCTTTAGAAACGTTACGTAAGTTGATTGCTTGTTAGAATAATATATTTCATGCAGTTTATATGCAACAAAATGACCTCCACAACCAATTGGTAAACTAGTAGGAATAAGATGACGTTCACGACAAACCATATTCATTTTATTGGAAACAAATGCATAATCATGTCTTTCGTTTTTGTAAGGATGTCTAAAACACAATATGCAACTTAGTGAATCAGGATCGAAGGCATATATATTAAACAGAGTTTTGATGAGAGACATAAAATCTTGAATACCAAACCTAGGGTGTCCATGACCCATAGGCAATACTAACTCGAACTTGGACACCGTTCTTTGTCCATGGTACTCTTTTCCACCAAAGACATCATGGTGCCTCAACTCTTTCGATTCTCCCATGTGTGACTCATTCATAAGCTGTCCAAAACCACTAAGAAAACCACAAAAACAATGTGAAACACATAAATCAAGTTTAATAGGGCAAAGGAAAGAATAGCAAACCCGATTGTGTATGAACACGAAGATGGCTCGTGGATTGGTTTGAGGTGACGAATAGGGTAGGAGTTTGGTCTCCATGAGTTGTACCTCCTCTTTGGGTTTCTTTGCCTCTGTCTTGGGATCATCTAACTCCATGGACGACTCCGCTCTCCCTTCTTCCTCTTCTACCTTTGTCTCCAATGTGTTAGAACCTACTTCATTGCTTGCATTTTCTTCCTCATCCATATACTCATTCTCGACTATATTTGTTTTATTTCCGGCCAACGTTGTTTCATTTTCGGTCATAAGAGAGCATGGATCCCAATTATCATAAGGATCATCTATCCATTCTCTATAACTCACCATTGTAGGCTTCATATGAGTTAAAAAAGAATTCTCGGACTGTCATCTCCGTAAGCTCATTCTCTGAGTAATTTGTGGTTTCATTCCATCGAGCCAAATGATCTTTAACCCACAAAGATCTCACCTCTTGTATGGTGAGTGATTCTTTTGAAGTTAAGACCTGCATGGTTAGTTTATTGAATTTACCACTAAGTGTACCGAGAAACATAAAAATCTTACGTTGCATGATGCTTAAATCCGGGTGGAGATTGTTGAGTTCGATCCACACAGCCTCATTTGCATGATCCCTCTCATCTTCATCTATCATCCCCCGAGCATCTTCAATTATTCGAAATTTTCGAATATACTCAAATGTTGCAACTATTTTGTAGTCTTCATGAGACAATACATACTTTGCCATTGTGGTTCTCCTCTTCGGTTTTATTTAGACCGAGAGGGCAGAGCTTTTGGTGGTCTTATTCCCTGATTTCACAGCGAAAAATTAGAAAGAAATAAACAAGATTCATATCACAAACACTTACCTCGAACCAGGCTCTGATACCATGTCACTTTTTCTAGTGCTTGTGATATATTTGAATATATCAGAGAGTGTTTTAGGTAGAGTAACAAATAGGTTCGAGAGTGAAAGAAGTATAATGTCAAAAGGTTTGCAAATTGTGGAGAATAATTCTCCAAATCTTGTTATTATTTTTGGTCAATGTACATAATATATATATATATATATATATAGAATCAAAGAAATAAGGCAAGAATATAAATCACAAACGGCTACTATATATGTATGGAATGCAATCTTCTATCTTGAATCAATCTTGTAGATTTAGATCTTCATTCATGGAAAGAATGGGAAACGGCTAGCTAAGTTGGCAGCCACCTCATCAATCCTTCCCTGCATGTTTGAGTGATCAAGTTCATGCCTTAAGGTCATCACCACATCTGCACGTGCATATGAGCCACATATCTTGTCATGTTAACAGTCTACTTCTTCTATGGCTTCCTCTGCTTGTTCCACCATATACATGCCCGGTTTACCCTTCTGCGGGTTTGATGAACCGGATCTAGCAAGCTGTAGCTTGATGGCAGAAAGCTCCGAAAGAACGGCTTGTAAAGCCGAAGACTCGCTAGCATCTCCTTTGACATCAGCCTTAGGCAAAGACCGTCTGCTGCCCATTTCCCCTGAAATGCTTCTCCCTTTCGTCATTTTAGCAATCTGCGCTTCTAGTGCCTCGAAAGAGAGATCATACACGCTGCCTCCACATGCTGCATCAACCCATCCTCTCGTGTCGTCCCTAAGACCATGTCTGAATGTAGAGAGGAGATACTTGTTGTCCATACCGTGGTGCGGACACATTCTCTGATACTCCTTGAACCTCTCCCAAGCATCATACAAGGTCTCATCATCGTCTTGGGCAAATGTGTTGATCTTGTTCAAGGCCAATCGTGTCTTCATGGGCGAGTAGTACTTCATCATAAACTTCTCTTCCATCTCGTCCCATGTAGAAATAGAATTTGGCTCCAAGGTATAGAGCCAATCCCGGGCCTTATCCATCAAAGAGAAAGGAAACGCCTCGATCATCGCATCTTCCATTGTTACCCCTGGCAGCTTCTTGATGGTTCGACACAACATCTTAAACTGCGTAAGATGAGAATTCGGATCCTCATTATACCTCCCTCTGAAGCTTATCTGATTCAGCATCTGAATAAACTGCGGCTGCAGCTCAAAGTGATCCAAGGGTGGTCGATTGATGCACGAGAGCAACTGAGTATGTTTGGGCGTCGTGTAAGTCTGCAAATTAGCTGGGACATGCTCTCTTGGCTGCGCTTCACCCCTTGCTGCCTCTTCTGCCATTCTGTCCTCTCTCTGTTTTCTGCGGATTTCCCTTTCGGTTCTGTCTATATCCGGGTCAAAGGCAAACTCAAAATCTGGGTCGAGTTGTCTTCGAGTGGGACGTCTGCTCATGCACTAAGGGAACCTGCAAAAACAAAAGTCCAGAAAAAGGCAGAGAAGGTGAATAAAAGTGAATAAAAAGACAGAGAGTAGGGAGAGACACCCGATAAAGTCCAGAACGATCCCGGAAAAGTCCAGAAAAATCGGGAAAAATCCAGAAAAATTATGAAAAGTCCAGGAAATGTCCAGAATAACTCCGAAAAAGTCCAGGAAATTCTGAAAATGTCCAGAGAGGTCCCGAAAAATCCAGAAAGAGTCCAGAAAAGTCCAGGGAAATACAAACAGCAAAAATAATAAACAGAAAAATCAAGAAATAAAAGAAACAGGGAAAAATTGACTCAAGAAAAAAAAAATAAAAATCACACAAACACGCAAAGAAAAAGGAAGTGAACAAACACACACAAAAAATCAAACCGAAAAATCAAAGGCTCCGGAAAGACTAACCTAGAGTCAATCTATCCTAGCTATGGAAACCGTCAAAAGTCCCCGGCAACGGCGCCAA